GGCTTTGTCCATACCATAATCAAAGGTCAACTCTTGCATGGGAGGAATGTGTCTAATGGCGAAAAAGGCGATATGGTAGGTTGCTTCATTGTTACTTTGTCGTACAACAAGCTGCCAGTAAACATTAGGCGAACAACTATGGTTCATAAAGCGAGAAATATTTCCACCATTCTTGGCACTTATGACCAGGGGAAAAGGGACTTTCCGAGACTCGTCATTATAATCACGCTCGGCTTCCAATGGCGCATATATACGGGTTGCATCAAAAATGTAATTGTCGTCACTGTAATTACCAGCGTCTATGACTTCTCCAGCATATTCACAAATGAAACCACCTCCACGTATAGGATCCCAAGATCTGAGTCCCCAACCTCTATTTTTTGTCTTGAAGACCTCCAAACGAGCTTTAGGACCTCCTTGAGACATTCGATTTCGGCAATTAGGAGGGCATGAACAGGCCGAACCACACTCATGTATCAAGGCTTTGTAACTCAAAAGAACTCCAAGTGAACTATAAGGCAAAAAGCCACCATTACTCTGAATACAAGCGCAATTGGAGTCACCAGGTTGGCACCCGCCAACGCAGTGACAACTCGGAGAGGGTCTAGGCATTACAAAAGGTTTTGAGTACTTCAAACTAGGAATATATGTGAAATAGGCAGGTCCTTTCTCGTCATCTACATCATTAACAAGACAAACTGGTTGACTTTCTGCACCAGACGTCAGGTCCGGTAGGATGACTCCAACACGTGATGCCACGCCATCTTTCCATTGCTGAATTGACTTCCATACTTTAAATGCTTCGGGCTGCCCAGGGACTCTCAGAAGTTTGTACTTGAATACATTGCAGCCCACCTTGTTTTTCTCTGCCCATGATTCCTGAATCTTATAAAGTCCGTCGTAAATATAAATCTTCCCGGTTGGATATGCGACATCCTTAACACCCCTAATTACTCTTACTTCATTGGCTCGATGCACACTCTTTTCCAGAGCAAGGTTTCCCCTCTCAAGTTTCTGATCAAACACTTGCCCGTCTTTCCTCTGGACTCCACCCTGGCCAGTGTAAATTAATACATCGCCATCACCTCCATCATCATCATATCCTCCAGAGGACACTATGCTGACCGCAAGAGGTTCTTCGTCCATTGTTAGTTTGACACTCATATAATCTATCCCAGCCATAGTTGGCGCATGCAATCCCACTAGGCACAATTCCATCCTGAAGAAGAAGATGTCACCAACTTCAATCCCGGGTGCATTTCCAATCCTCTTTGTTTGGTTTGTCCGAACTCCCTTTGTCATCAGCATATTAGAAGCTTTTAGGTCTGGTCTTCTACCAGAACCTGACCCATCCCTCGATTCGTCAATTTGGGTCATCCTTCTTCTGAACAAGTCAAAAACCAACAGTACCCTCCCCACTAGCTCCTTGTCACCATCAGCTTTCTTGACCTGATCGAAGTCAACAAGTTTAAAAGACGTGAGCAACTGAGTCAACAAAGGTTCAACATCCACTTCCAAAGGGGTTGACCCCTCAGCCTGCTGAGCTCTCCGAGGCTTTTTCGGTCTTCCCCTTTTTTTTCCAGTACCGGAATCTTCAACATTATTCACGTGCACACTAAATCCACTGGCAAATTGGTCATTCTGATCCTGTGAATTACTGTAATCATCATCGTCTACAGCCCTCCTGGACCTCCCACTATTTCCATTCGCAGTTGTTGGAGTTCTGAATGAGTTTAAAGGAACGGGAGATATAGGCTGCGCAAAACCAAAAGGGCCGCCCTGATTCGGCACCCCACTTGGAGTTTGTTGACTACTTTCACCTGGCCTTCCCGACTCATTTGGAGCCACAAAGGGGTAAAATGGAGCAACCCCAGGGGGGAACGGACCAGTGGGAGGAACACAGACAAAAGGTGATGGCTGTGGAGTTGAAACAGAAGACATTCCATTTGGGGATGGAAAAACAGGTGCAAGACATCTCAAAGGCTTCACATCCAAAACCCTAGTCTTATCGATGCTCGGAGGATTATTACCCTCAGAACGCAAACCTTGTTCCATTATCAAAATCAACCAACTTTAACTCACATTTACAACTTCAAATCCCCTTTTCAATCATTGACCTACCAACACAAAGCAAGTAATAATTCAGAGAAAGTAGGCATAAAATAATACTCCCTTCATTTCAAAAAGAATGATACATTTCGGATTCCGAGAGTCAAAATTCTTAATTTTGACAGCAAATTCGAACATAGAATCTATAAATTTAAAAAGTACTACAAGTCACAATGATTAACAATTCAAAATATTTAAAAGTCATACAAAAAAATCATGGTCAAAGAACACCACGTTTCAATCTCGAAATCCGAACTACATCAAACAAATTAGGACGGAGAGAGTACTTTGTTAAAAAAAAATTATTCAAAAAAGTTAAAACCTTACCAAATCTCCAAAACTGCAAACTCTTCAAATATATTAAAGAAAATTTCCTGCATCATAAAAAGGAAATTAATCAAAAAAAAATGAGTTAAAACTTTCCAAAATGAAAGCTTAAACTTCAAGGAGAAAACCCTAAATGGAATTAAAACCCAAAAACCAGTAAAAACAACCGAAAAATCAGCAGAAATGAATTCACACATAAAAACACCTAAAAAGAAGCTGACCCTAAGAAATGAAGTCAAAGATTCAAATTCATACTATCAGATTTAAGAAACAAAGTTCACAGGAAAACATAAATAAAAAAGAAATAGAAGCAAATCATCGTACTTTGAGAAATACCTTAAAAATTAGAGAGGACTGAGATTGTAAGGGAGGGGGAGAGATTTGGAATGGGTGAAAAGTAGGGCGTTTTTGGACTTCGCTCTATTAGTACATTCGAGGATTCGAGCTTTTGCGAAAATGAAGAATAAACGAAAGGCAAGTTATATATTTAGCCGGTAAGCTAAAAATAATTTATATTTGCTAGCTAAATATAAAAAATATAAAAAATAACACACACATATATATATATATATATATATA